TGCAAGTTATTATATCTAAACAATTCTCTTTGCACGTCACAGACCTAGATCCAATATTTCCTGTGCATTAGCGTGTGCATCAGGAACAAGGAGCCGGTATGAGTGTCTCTATGTGTCGTGTGCATTTGCCCTTTGTCCTGGCTGCTATGTGTTCTGGTATGTTGCTAAAGGTCGGGGCCAGGCGGAGAGCAGGACGCCAGGGGCCCGCTCAGGGAAACTGTGGCTGAGAAGAGCCGCAGAGCCAAAGGCCAGCGGCTCTGACGAGAGCGGGGATTAGGACGGAGCTGTGGATATCAGAGTAAAACAATACAGGTCGTTGTGCCCAGGCTAAAAGATTACAGGCTACAGAATGCCAGAGGAAATAATCAGTTAGTGAGCTATGTTTATTTTATTTCCCTTTATAGAGACTGCAAGTGAAACATGCGTGTAATTTATGAGCAGCAACTGATGCACAATCTGAGCTAATGTATCATACCAGAAGATTCTCGCCTGTCGTCACCCACTGCCTGACTTCACAGCACTGCAGTACAGGCTGTTCCTGAGAATGTTGCAAGTCAGGATAGCTACAGGCAGACACACACACACACACACACACACAAACACACACACACACACACACACACACACACACACACACACAAAGACAAGCATAATGAGCTATCCAGCAGTCCACCTAAAGGCCAGAAGAAGGAGTGCAGGGTCAAATGTCCTCTGCCTCAGTGGTTTAGAGAACGGTGATTTTGACCTCTGACCTTCTCTGCTTGGACTTGTCTGCTCTACCTATGTCAGGGCTGTGTTTTACAACATGAATAGACAGGATTTACAAGAGGAAAAGAGAATTAAGTAATGATCACTACATGGCCTGGATGGACGTTTTCCGAATCCGTTAAATATAGAAACACTAATAGTGTTATGCGGGGTTAAAGGTGTAATTTGTTTGTTCCTGTGTTAATCTAGCCAGAGAACAAAGTCATTATTGTCTCGTTGACTAACAGCAGAACTTTGTATGACATGTTTGGGAGGCTGCCATTGGTTATGCAATCTTTCCAGATCTGTGACCTCGTTCTGCAAGGCCTACAAGGATATTTAAACTTAGAAATATGTAGCGGTGGAACATTACACAAGTTAGAAACAATATGGTAAGCACCTGCATGATCTGGTCATACTAAAGTTATATTGAAAGAAAGTAGACACCCATTTAACCATAACTTTGCAGGCAAGCAGGCAGTTGATCAAAATCCACAAACATCTGTAATTTATGAATGGAGGTTGACTGACTGCATAGCTTTGCTCAATTTTGGCCCCTTTAATAAATAAGACACACAGACACAACGTTTAGAACGTTATGACTGGCTTGATTGAACTGCAGCCATCTTTCTTATCCTTTGCAAATCTTTGGAGGAAATATGAGTTACGGACTGGAAATCCTCAACATTTCTCTTCCTAGCCTGGTGGAGTAGAACTTTTATTGTTCTCGTTGATCAGAATCCTCAACAATGACTCGTATGACTGCAGATGCCAGCATGAATAAGCTGGAATTTGAAAGGAATTGCATAACAACCATTATTGCATCTTTTGGATCATTTGGTGCACAGATGGGTGCAGGATATACATGCATTACATTTGTACATGTAAATAACAATTGTCCCTGTCATAAGAAAAAGTGTGCAAATTGCTATTTAGATAAGGATCAAGTTATGTTGAATTAGTGTTGCTGTTAGTCAGCCCCTCCTCTGTTTCTCACCTGTTTGGACAAGCCATCATTAAACTATGACTAACGACAGAGTACTGAACAGTATTCAGGGTTGCAGTTATGACTGACATCAACATGAACATAGTCCTGGACGTATGTATGAGTCTGCATGCATGCACGAATTGGAGTGAGTCTCTTGACAGTTCCTGTAAGTCAATTTGTTCATCCCTAAACTAAACAACCAGCAGAGAACACTGACAGAGTATTGCAGGCAAGAACTGATAATGAATGTGTTCATGAAGACACTGGCAGCTGGTGCCGAAATATTCTTAGGCCTTTTTGTTCCACACTTTGAGACTACATGCTGGTATCTGAGGCCCAGCATTTACAAGTTCTTGTTCTAGGCTAAAACGACATAGCGAACTACAAGACCTTAACTCTTTTAGATCTAGCTATAAAATGATAACCTCTAAACAAACACATGAGGGCTGATTAAGTCCAATTCATATTTGGATGAAAGTGTGTTTTCCTCTCTCTGCAACTAGGTGGAATTAAAGTACTATTATTACTTATAATGCAACTTCTACCAATACATTTATTCAAAAAAGAATGTTCGCTCCAGATGGTTGCAAGGCATTGTGACGATTTCAGAGCAGCCAGTGTGTTTTCCCACATTCAAAATAGGTGGGAAAAAATGTATGTGTAAAGTGTATCTATTCATGAAGGGTTCATATTGATATGTTATCCTGTTCCACAAAGAAAACATTATGTTTCATTAATTTTGTCTCCAGAAACTGTGCCAACAAGGCCAGGACTTTGATAAGGTAGTGATGTAAAAACGATGCATTTTCAAGGACAAAGTTTTGTTACAGTGTCATCATCCCCCGTCTGCAATAACGATGCAGAGACACAGAGTTCACAGATGTGGAAGACCCTGGAACAATGACTAATCAGAGCAGACTGTACTCTTGCTGGAGGGGGGCTTAAAGAGACAGGCTCTAAAACAGAGCGTTATAGACCGGATTAAATGAATCTAAACTGACTCAAATGAAATCATTCAAACATACATGCCCTAAACCTACAATACAAATATGAACCTGATAATGTGCATATTATTTCTCCTTTAACTAATTACCTTTTTACTACATCTACTAAATAAATGTAGTGGATTATGTCCCCCAACCGACCATAGTAACCCCCACACTGCTCTATTTGCATGTGTGTCTTTCTTTTAGATCTGCTGGGTCAGCTTTACGTCAATCTGACAGGGAGAGAAATAAGGATCCTGTCTTTCTCTCTTACTGTGTGCCTCATTCGAACAGCAGAAGCACAAAAGGTTTACACATTCATAAACATTATGCTATGTGCGTATATGTTGTGCGTCATGGAAGGAGCCCTCCCCCGGTGGGTTATGTATATGAATGAATGGCTTCTTCACAGGGAGCGGCTCCTCCCCAGGAAATCCACGACTGTACTTTCCAGAAATAGAGCATGACTTGCTTAAAGTGGAACTAATGCATCAGCGACGGGTTTCCAGCAGGGCTAAAAATGAGAGAGACCGGGGTGTACCTCCTGCTGGCAGGACGACTTATAGCTGGACCTGTTGTCAAAAGATGTGTGTGCATGCGCTTCAGCAAACTGAGACATTAGATTTCCCCACGCTACAATGTTCATGCAGCAAACCTAGATATGCACCTTTACACACAAAGAAAGCACAGAGAGATGTAGGCGTTGTGACGCAAGCATTATGAGTCACTGCCACAAAGCCTGAGCTCTTAAACGCACAACAGTGTCATTGCCTCTCCAACAGGTAGGATGTATTGCTGCTCTCCCTTCACTCACTCATAGTTAAACTGGCCTGAGGTCAGTACACAGAACACTTTAAATCACCAAACCAGAACCCTAGCCAGTACCATGCTCTCATGAAATGTTCATAGACAGGGGTGACACTTTTTTCTTTTCCATTTCATAACTCACAGATATAATTATCATTCAAAGGGCTGTTACTATAGCAACACAAACCTGTTAACCCCGCCATATGTCCAGTGTTTCCCCAGAGAAGAAAGGAGGAGCAAAATCCAGAGGGAGGAGAAACAATGCACCCATTTTAATGTACTATCAGAAATATTAGTAGAATGATAATGCCCATGCCTTCCCCTGTACCAACTTCTGCCGGTCACAATTTGTAACTGTTTGTGATGGTTGTAGAAGAATTATGAAGTCAAATGAAGATGATGTGTGTACTCTGAAAGGGGCTTCACACACAGGGACATGTCAGGCCCGGTGTGATGAAGAAGAGGACAAACTCCTGCTTCACTACAAAACTCTTCCACAGGAGGGCGTAGAATCGGCTCAATGCCTGTACTTCAAGAGTGGCCAAGTACATACCAAACTGTTGCTCAATCCTGTTTGTCACATGAGTAAAAAAAGGCAAACTTGATGGTATGTTGCAGCTCTTTCCAAGGACACAGAGGTCTCATTTGAATAGAGATAAGACTGCAGCCTTGCCTGATACTCCATGGTGAAATACCTTTTTCTCCACAGAGGAAACACAAAGCAGTAAAGTTATACAATTGTGAGCACTGCCAAGGTGCGGTTATGGGGTTTTCTATTCGCGCAATTAGTTTGGAATAAGGTATTAACACTAATGTTTTAGAATAATTGCCTCCTTAAACTGCTTGCAGACTTTTTTAGCACACACTACAGGAGCCTTGCCTTTCTCACACACATACGCTGCACATATGGAAGACAGATGTTTAATAGACAAGGTCAAGGAGTCCATACAGTAATTGTCTGCTTCACTATGTCTCCGTATTGTTCAGATCACCACATCCACATACTGTAAATCCAGGAAATTTCCTCTGGAATGGAAACCATGTCCTACTCTTGCAGACCTATTTATGTTTATTTTCTTTCTTCTCCTATTTTCTCTGTCCCTCCCTCCCTAACACACACTTTTGTTCTGGTCTTGTGGTGCATTCAACCGGTTTGGATTCATCTCCCTCTAAAGAAACAAAGAGTATATATTTAGTCAATCCAAAAAGGTAATCACCCTCTCATTTCTGTATTTGTTTCTGTTTGTTTCTTGTTATTTCTGGATGGATCTGGGGTCGGACTGTATTGAGGGAAAGTGCAGATGATGACCGATGCACAAAGCAATAATCTCATTATCCCTGCCTCAACTAATCCACTAGGAACGACTCCTCTAAGTAATCAATATCCTTTACACATATTGTACCCCACACATTATTGTGAAACACATGTGAACGGTAATATAAGGGGACTTTTAATCAACATTTAAAAAAAGATGTCGGATATGCAGGATACAATGTTGTTGGGCTTGGAGGGAATCAAGAAAACTATTCTGCATGGAGGGACCGGAGAAATTCCAAAATGTATCTCTGGATCAAAGGTATTTTTGATCTTCACTAAGAGCTACATTTAGCTCATCCATTATAGACTAAGTTGTGTACGTTTACTTCAGTACAGAGTCTATTTAGTTTGCAGTCAATAATTCAATTTCTCTGAAACATATTTCAGGAAAATAGCAGCAATGTATGCTCCTATTTTTATGTTTAAGTTATTTAGAATTCACTTCAGAAAGCTGGTTTTAAATGTGTATCTTAAGAGATATAGAAGTTGAGGAGCATGCAAAGACAAAAGAGAACAACATTCTTCCTAGACTGTGGTTGCAAAGCACCAAAGAGAATAACGTTCAAATAGAGGCTCTTATCTGTGACTATTATATAGACTTGATATTAAACATGTAATAGAGATCTAAATCTAATAATTTAGCTATGATGGATATCTCTCCATAAAGATCCCCCTTAATATCCATAAGACTTCAAGTGGCATTATATAAGACTATAAATGCACAATGATGAGGAAAAACAAGTCTGAGGTTCAGAGTTTCTTTGTCTGAACAGAGAGAAGTTTCTTCACTTGTGATGGATGCTCAGCGTCTGTCATTTTTGATTATGTTACATGACATTTCATTTAGACATTAGGGCAATGTTTACAATTTGAAAAGCATTATTGTATATCTGCATCTGCCAGTGGAACATCACAAAAACAGTAGACATAATAATATGCTCATTCCACTCCAGGAGTGATTTGAAAAACATGCGCATCGGTAATCCACCAAAATGAGTTGGAAAATAAAAGCATATAACATACTGTTAACAGCCTGCTGATTTGATGATGCATGACTTCCATCTCTTAGATTTATGTTTCGATTTTAAGCTATTGCATGTGAACATGATGAGAGGGGAGGCTCACTCATGAAGTTGCAATTCCCCCTGGTGGCCAGAAGAGGTTAATAAGGACATGTTTCACTCAATGCGGATTTAATAAGAACACTTTTTTTCAGAGCTTATTGAAAACACTTTAAACCATCTGCGTCTGGTTTGGTCTTTCCTCAAGAAAGAATGCCTTCACTTGACTGTGACTTATGAAACCATTCTTGAATCTGAAAAAAACTAATTATACAAATGTGTGGCCTCACTCACTGTTCAGACCAGCTCACGTTCATGAACTATAGCTTTGTGACTGTGTTGGGGATTTCTTGTTCTGTATGTTATAGCTTTGTTTTGAGAGTGGAAGTTTCCCTATTAAGGAATTTCAAATCATCCTTGGTTCATAAAATTATACTTGACCTGTGCTGGTTCTGTATTTTGAGGACACTGTTATTATGAAATATGGGATCAGTTTGGTATTGCTTCACTCTCCATGGATGTTATAAAACCAGGGAATCTTGGCTTTCTGTCCTACTTTCTGTCCTGTTGAATAACTGAGCTGTGTGTAGAGCTTGTAATATAAAACCTTTGTTAAGACTTTGAAGGTTTGTTCAGTTCCCTTTTTAACAAACATTGTATTTAATTTTATGGTATTTTTGATCATTGCTCTTCAGGCACTATCTGGTCTTCCTAATAATAGTTGTATCTGCCTTGGGTTATTTAAGAGGTTTTACACAAAGAGCTATGATCCCCACTTTCTCACATTGTTTTAGTTTTAATGAGCAGGCATCATCTCTCGTAATGCGTCTCTGTTTCTTTTACTTCAGGTGACTTTCCACTTCCGCACCCAGTTGTGTGATGATGAGCGGACAGTGATAGATGACAGCAAAGTGGTGGGGACGCCCATGGAGATAGTGATCGGCAACATGTTTAAAATGGACATCTGGGAAACCCTGTTGTCCTCCTTGAGGATCGGAGAGGTGGCTGAATTCTGGTGTGACATCATTGTGAGTGCTTGACATCATGGTGTGTGTTGAAAATTGTTTGTGAGTTCCCTTTTTGCTTGTTTTGAATTGAAGTGCATTATTGTCTGTTAGTGCAAATCACTTCTTAGAAGCTTGACTGTTCACGTTATGTCATAACACTGAGGATGTGGAGGCTATAGACTCTGCAGCAAAACAACACTGTAGAAGTTGTAGGTGCTATGAATGTGACACCTAAACATTAAGCACATGTCAAACTATCCTCCTGTTCATGATATAGAAAAAAACCACAAAAGTATTCAGCTTATAAAGCTATCCTCTAAGCAGGGCTAACAGAGAACCGATTTGCTCATAACTGGATCAACAGGCTCCCTGACTTACTACATAAAAATAAAATAACATGTGTTTTATAAAGTATGTGTGTATCAACAACCTGAATATGTGATTTACTGTCAGTAAAGTTCCCTTTGAATTCCCTGCATATTTTCTCTGTGAGTAATGTTTTGTCGTCGCGTTGTTTCTGTGTGGCCTCTCCCTGTTATGAAAGCTGTTTGTCCCATGAAGATGGGAATATATATGAAACAGTGTTGACGTATTAGAATCATAGATCTATGATTTTTATGTTTTGTCTGCGTGTCTGTGTGTGCCCCACACTGTCACAGACAGATGGTTGAGGCACACTTTCATTAATCTGCAGCAGCTTCACTTTTCCCTAATCGGCTCTGATTCTGCTGAATCAGCCCTCCTGACTCACCTCCACTCTGATTAGATTTGAATGAGCTTATAGCATGTATTCACTCCTCTCTGAACAACATGGCGGCCCCTCACATTCCACACTCCTGTATGCTGTGCAGTATCATTTCCAGCCAGTGGAGGGCAAACGTGCCATGCTGAGTGAGGAAATAGACTGGAGATAATGTTAAACAACTCATTTTATAATATAATGAATCTGTTTAATCAGTTGAATGTAAGTGTAATCTGATTCCCTGTGTAGGGTAAGTGAAGTATGAGTATGTATAAGAATAAGTATGAAATAAATGAGTACAACACCATTTTCCTCTTTAATAAGACAGAATTCGGAAGAGGCTTGAAAATTAACACCGTAAGCCAAGTTTACATTTTGATATTTTAATAAAAATGTGATCTCTCTCTTCACCAGCATACTGGTGTTTATCCACTAGTCTCCAAGAGTATGAGGCGCATTGCAGAAGGCAAAGACCCAGTGGACTGGCAGATCCATACATGTGGTATGGCCAACATGTTCGCCTACCACAGCCTGGGCTACGACGACCTGGACGAGCTGATGAAGGAACCAAAACCCCTCTACTTTGTCCTGGAGCTGCTCAGGGTGAGTAGGAACAAACACAACCTCAATATCTTAGCCTTTCTTACCAACAGGTTTGTTATAGGGTTATTAACTTGTTTTTAGAAAACATTGGTCCATGGTGCCAAGGGAAGCAGGTTATATACATTTACTGTGAGTGTGATTGACAGGTTCAGCAGCCCAGTGAGTACAACAGGGAGACGTGGGCTATGAACGATGAGGAGAGGCTGAAGGTGGTGCCTGTGCTTCACGGTCAGGGGAACAAGCTCTACAAACAGGGGAACTACGACGAGGCCACACAAAAGTACAAGGAGGCCATCATCTGCATCAAGAATGTTCAGACAAAGGTGATCAAACAAGTGGTCTGAAATAACACTAATAATTATATTCTGAAAAACAGTATGTATAGACATGGATCTGATCTTCTTCAGGAGAAAGCATGGGAGGTCCCTTGGCTGAAGCTGGAGAAGATGGCCAACACCATAACGCTCAACTACTGCCAGTGTCTAATGCGCACAGAAGAGTACTACGAGGCCATCGAGCACACCACCGACATCATCAACCAGCACCCAGGTAACACTCACAGAGACTATATGTGTGTGAGGCCAAGATTATGTAAATCAAGCCTGTTGAGTGTGAGACTCAAGCTGTGTTCCAGCCTTACAGTTTTTTTTTTAGCTTCAACCTAGCATGGTATTTTTCCCCCTGAAATCTTTAATGCTAGCTTTAAGTCGATGTGTAATGCGTCTATGACTTTCTGATCCCATAAAAGATCCTGCCTGTTCTTGACTTGAGCATGCACAGTTTATTGTGTATGTGTTCATAGAAGCACATTTTTACGTTTGTTCTTCTTCTCCAGGTGACATGAAGGCCTTCTTCCTGCGAGGGAAGGCCCACGCAGAAGTGTGGAACGAGGCAGAGGCTCGGCAGGACTTCAGCCGGGTGCTGGACCTGGACCCAGGCATGAAGAAAGTCGTCAAGAGAGAGCTGGCCGTGCTTAATATGCGCATGGAGGAAAAGAACCAGGAGGACAAGAACAAGTACAGAGGCATGTTTTGACCAGGAGAGGCTGCAGCAGAGGTTAGGAGAATCACAAAAGTGATGGCTAAAGAAGAGGAATCCCCAAGATTGATTGTACCTTTAACAACCACATCTGCTTCACTGCAGTGACTTTCACAAGGTCTGGGAAACACTCAGATGGAATATATAAGGATGATATATGAGCTGCTTCCTTTCTGCCCGTCTTTCTTTGTCATCAAAACTATTAAATGAAACTTTTAAATGGAGGACTTCACACACTTGTAATCTTACCTAAATTGGTTAAATTTCAAGGAAATGTTTGACTGCTTGATTTGGTTGTTTGTAATCAATGATCTCCCATATTTAGCAAGGCATTGAGAGGTACCAAAACACAAAAGATGTATTTAACGGTTAAGTAAAAAGCGGTATTTAGTGGTTAAGTAAAAAGCAGCATTGAGAGGTACCAAAACACAAAATATGTATTTAGTGGTTAAGTAAAAAGCAGTCTTTATCTAACACTCGTAAAGTGAGCGCATAAGTGTATTTCCCAAAATGTCCAAATCTTCCTTTGCTTCTGTTCTGATTTGTTATATTGTTTTGGATTTGTTCCCGATCATGTATAAAAAAGCATTATTGAATGCTAATAAAGTGTACTAGTTGGATTTCTATGTTTAAATGTGCTCATGGCATCACCAAAAGTCAAGTCACACTTTGCCACTATTTTACCTAAAATATATACAATTCCAAAGTAGTTATTCCTTAAGTGTTATCTTTAGTGACTTGTCAAGTAACTACTCAGTCTTGTAAGCTCATTGGCCTTCCACAAGGTGGTGCTCTGACCATGATTATTTGTATGGTTCACTATTGGAGAAATAATCCTGAGCCTTTACGCAGCACTCTCAGTTTCATGAACAGTCTAGGGGCTCGTAAAAAAAACAATCTGGTTTTCATCGCTTGTCTCCTTCTTTTCTCTTCCCCTGTACGTTTTCAGGAGAGAAAAAGGAAACACAGAGTGTGATGCAAAAGGACATGACGAATACATCTGGGAAATATACTAAAAAAACATTTGAATGCACTTTTGTTTTTGCACTGACAATAAATATAGTATTCGATCAATAGTATGACATCGCACAGAGAGCTCAGTTTCATTCAGGGAATCCCTACTCATCACGATCTGCACTGTTCCCCCCCACTCATCATGACCACGGGTCACTCACAGCACAGCGTAGCAGTCACTCAGGGAAATGAGGCTGACTCTAATGCACCAGTCTAATGATGAAGAAAATCAATAGGAGCGGATCAAAGAAAAAAAAAAACACACGAAGGATCATGATTAAACATTCAAGCTATAGCATCCAGCCCTTTACAAGCACCTTGCTAATGCAGTTCCTGCTGCTGAGTCGTGCCAAATCTTAGGAAGGTAAACAAGGAGACTAAAACTGTGGTTAGATACAGCACTCATTAGAGACCATAGGCAATTTATCTCTGCTCTGATCCAGTAAAACCTTTTCTTTATCTTCACACTTTAATACCATCAATGCTATTTAGAAAATGGACTTAGATTAAGTAGATTTATGTGATGGGGCTGTGCCGTTGGAAACCCTGCCCTGGACTAAAGCACAGGCCTACAATCAATTCTGCATAGCAGCACAATCCGCAGTTGGCTTTCCTCCATAAACCACTGGTGCTGATGTTGAGAAGAGGGAAAGAAAGGGAGGAGGCAGGAGGCAGGAGGAGGGAGGAGGCAGGAGGCAGGAGGAGGAAGAGGAGGGGGCTCTGTGCCCCTGCTCCAACAGGAGTTGCATGCCTCAAGTTAGCCAGAGAAAGCAAATGTCATACAGGAAGTAAGGCAATCGTGTATTCAAAATAAAATATGTAATGTTAGGATTTGGAAATGAAAGTAATAAATAATGTTCTTTATTGTATGTTTCTTGGCTCCTTGTTTAGGTCTTACTCCTTGATGAATGCATACTTTATATAGACCCTAATTACTTAATGTACTGCTTTTGATTAAAAGACAAATAATAAACTATTTCCTGCATTGCTTGAATGTCAAATGTTTTTGCTTGGAGTACCCAGTAGTTTAGACTTCTTTGGAAGTAATCTGGCATATCATCAGAAGATTTTCACTGGCAGCCATTCAATGAAGCAGTCTACCAAATGTAGCCTTTAACCAAGTCAAACCAAGTCAAACCAGGCCGGGTAAAACCAACATTAAGCAACACAAAAAGTCATTAGACTTTTCTTGCAGCAAAATAAAACACCACCATAGCAACAACACAGGGGTTAACGATTAAATGACCACAGTACAGCCAGAAAACACACATTCAAGCAAAAAGAGCTGCACATTAAGGTGTAGGCCTACAACTTTTAGTGAAACACACGAGTAAGTTTGTTTGTTGTACTCACCATAGTCTTGTGTATGGGGAAGTCAATCTGCTCAATCTGCTCAATCTGCTGCAGGTTCAACTTCTCTGCTCGTTTAGTAGTCCACAGTTTTCAAACTTGTTGAGCTGATCACAGCAGCACAAAGTTCCACACACCTCACTGAAGATGGAAGTTTCTCTGCAAGCTCCGACATTAGCATAAACACCGCACCTAGCATGTTTGGAAGAACAGCGTGCTTGATTTTGGCCACTTTAGGGTGCTGGCCGGTGTTGTGCAGTTGCTTTTAACACGTGGTTAATTAAGGTAAGTGAGATAACGTTGCAATCCTCGATGACGTTGTTAACTCGTTATTTCATTGCATTTTGCATTGTTTTACTTCCAAAAATATTTATGAGTCGATGTGTGTTAATTATTTTTCGTTTACTGTATATTCATGGCTGGTGTTTTATTTTGTGTTTCGTCACCGGAAGTTATGTGTTTCAGTATGGGTGACTTGAGACTGGTCCCAAATTGAGTACAGTCGCTGTGCTGCTGCGTCGTTGAGACAGAGGAGGAGAGGATAAGAAAGTGGCTTTGAAAGAGACCCTTCACCCCCATCCTTCTGCGTAAAGAAAAGGAAAGAGAGGCGTGTTTCTACTTTTCAAATAACAGACTTAAAGAAAAGTACTGGGACTGGATCAAGGCGGAAAACTCATCTGTCTGAACTGTTCCTCCTTGGATGTATAAGAAGACGGGAGTTGTTCTGATCTGAGCCCCTTCGGAAATGAGCCACACAGTGGATGTGAAGGAAGGTGACGGAAAGTGATTCAAGAGGAAGAATGATATCTGCAGGAATCCCACATCTCCTTTCTGATTTTATTACTTTCTTTTAGCCGGGTTGATCTACTTTAATCTTTTTAAAGCACCTTTCAAATTATCTAATTTGCATCCACCCAGCATACCTCAGCTTGTTTAACCGACTCACTCAAATTAAATATTGCTTCAGCTGTAATGGCATGTAGGTGGATCCCAGCTTGTAACTAATTAAACCAGTTTTAAACTCAATTCCCTTTTTTCTGATCTTATTTGATACAATTGACTTTTGAACATGGCCATCAACACGGACACCGACTTCCTGAAGTCCAATTTAAATGAGGGTGGGGGAGGCTCGCAGCCTGCACATCCCCACGAGACTGAGAAACTCCTCGCGGTGACCACCGAGCCCGCGGGACATGGGATGAAGATGTCCACCTCCTTCACCGTCAACATGGACACTGACAAGGGCCAGGAGGCCGACCAGAACGGCCACAGTGTGTCGGTGAGGTCGGGCTCCGCCGGGCAGCTGGGTGCCGCCGCCCCCCTCTCCCCCTCCAAGGCCAGCCTGAGCCGCTCCTCCACCGGGAACGCGACCGTGCAGGAGACCCCGAAGCCCAAGGATTACCTCATCCTCGTTATCTTGTCCTGCTTCTGCCCCGTGTGGCCCGTCAGCATCGTGGCACTGGTGTTCTCCATCATGGTGAGTATCACGTTACTAAACTGTCTCTGAAGGAATCTACAACATAAATTATACAACAGCAAAGTGGAGCAGCAAAGATTAATGTGTGGAATATGAACATCAATATCTCAGTTTATTTAGAACATAAATAAGAGAGCATGTATTTTCATAAAGTTCAGGGCCTATTCATGTCATTTCTGGGCATTAAGTAGCTAAAGAAAATGTGAACATATTGTTGATTCTAAAAATAATCTGGTGTACTGTCTGACATGACAAACAGGGTCTGTTCCAAAACAGGTAGTCTATATTTTACAGATATCAGTTATCTATTGATTGTCTTCTATGATTTCCAAAGCTGCTATTTTGTCTACATTTAATTATGGACTTGTTAGGAAAGTGACAATGATATTTTGGACGAAGGTAATATCTCTCTAATATTCAGGGAGAGAATGGTCTTTGACAGGGAATATTCCTTTCAAATTATACCAGCAGATCAAGAAATATATCAATTAACCTTTTCTGTCATGTTTTAAGCATTTGAGGGGCAGGAAATATTGGGAAAGAAAATAGGGGAATGACAAGCTGTTGGATAAATCACGACAAATTAATATGAAATGGTAAGTGATTCATTTTCATGATTCCAATCCAGTGGCCTGCGACAGGTCAGGGTTTAAGTGTAAACATGTCATTGTTATCACTTGAGGGTCACGTTTATTAAAAAATTAAGAAATAAAAGTAATATAATTATTTCCAAGCAATTCCACAGAAACTAAATCTGCAGAACAGATCTATTCAGCGCATTGACGTATCTGAATATAATACAATTTCTCCAGGATTGGCATATTTCATTGAGAGGTCCCTTACAAACTCTTAAAGGTGGGGTAGGTAAGTTTGAGAAACCGGCTCGAGATACACTTTTTGTTATATTCCATGCAATGCTCTTAACATCCCGATAGCAATGAATATCTTAAGTGCTTTGACAAAAAATCCATAAAAAAATGTCATCTGTGGAAGCCGTAGTACTGTAAAAAGCACGACCAATCATTTTAGCCGGCCCGGCTAAAATAACTGGATGGCCTACCTGCCTGTCAGCCTTCCATCTGTGCACAAGCTTATCTCGTGCCCTCATTGGTCATGTGCGCGTTCGTGTGTGTTGGAGGAGGGGCTCTGTAAGGAA